GGGTGACTCTGCCTGCAAAGCAGCATAATGCAAGGTGGGGTGATGATACAAATTGTAATTTTCATTCTGGTGGACATACTCATATGACCATTTCACTTCCTCTTCCAGGGACTAGGAATTCTATATACAACAATTTTAGTTGTATATAAATTGTGGACTGGACAGACAAATATTCTGGGAATTTTCTGCTCCCTAGCAGTAGTTGCCTACACAGTCCTGAGGTTTTGAGGTATCCAAGGCAGGAGCGGGCTGTTCTGGGAAAGAAGCAGTTGAGCACACTTGCCACGTGTGCCAGATGATCAGTGGAAAATGCTGGTGATAAAATATCATTTAGTGAGTTGACACTAAACAGAAAGTTCCCAATCCCCTGCCTGAGCTGTCTCCAACAAGACCTGTATTTGTGTCTGTGCTACACACCTCTCATTTTTGGGAGCTGCCTGGTGCTTTGTGGCCCTGTGCCACCAGCTGGGGCCACCTCTGCCATGGTCAGGCTGTGGACACACACACACACACAGGAGCTCAGCACAGAGCAGAGCCCAGATGTAAACAGGCATATCTGCAGGGCAGCTGATGGGTGAGCATGGAGCTTTCCATTTCAGCAACATACACGCACCCATTGTCTCCCACCATCTGCTGCAGGAGAGGAAAACCTAGGCATATAGAGCCACACTAAATTTGCAAGAAGAGTAGTTTTAAATTATTTGCATAACTGTAATCCACTTTTTACTAACAACACACTAATAAGAATGACTTAGAGCCCCAGTTTAGCTGCTACTAAACTACTGCTGTCTTTGCTTTACCTCTGGAAGAACAAGATAAACTTCCTGAGCTTCCTTTGTAAAATGAAAAATATTTCAGCCAAAAACATCAAGCTCTGACAATCTCATATGTATGGTAGTGCCTAAATTAAGGCATGTATGTTTGAAATTTGTATCCTTCAAGGACAATCTGTGTAGTAGAGATAAACGTTATAAAATGCAGGCAGCTAAATAATGAAGTAAGGATTCTGGAATTTAATATGATAACTCAAGCACTGAGCTGTATGTATTTAGGTTTTGGAGTTTTCACATTTTCCAAATGGCATTATAAGAATTACAGCTCCTTTAAAAAAAAAAAAAAAAAAAAAAAAAAAAAAAAAAAAACCCCAAAAACACATGTATATGCCAGGATGAATACTAGTTTCCTAAATATTTTTAGTACAAGACATATAATTTACTCAATAAGTGAAAAAGTTTGTTTAGAAAAGCTACTCAACTGTACTGAATGTCCAAAATCATTCTCCATCTGCAGAACCATAAAAGGGCTCAAAACAGAAGCAGAATGTTTTACAACAGCTGGTCTCTTTCAACTTTCTGTAATTTTTATAGCTCCTTTTTGGTGATTTTTTTTTTTAGTATACTGCAGCAGGATTCTTCTAGAAGCAGGCAAACCATGGTTTCACTTGTGCAACTCCATGAAGCAGAAGTGGATCGCTGTTATCCTGAACCAGGCACACACATGCAGGGTCAAGTAATGCACTCTCACATCAGGGCTGAAAACTTATCAAATATGGCCCTGATCCAGCAAAGCACTTAAGCACATGCTTTACTTTAAACATGTAAGTAATCCTATTAGAGCAAATGAGATTCAGCATAAACCACTGGACTGAATCTCAGAATACCTTGGTTGTGGCCCTGATTATGTCAGTGACCGACTGGGTAACCTTGGACAAGTCACTGCACTTCTGTGCCCCCGTTTCCTCTTCTGCCCTCTCCATGTGCATGCCATGCTGCACCACCTCCCCAAACGAGTCCCAATGGATCTCCCAGAAACTGCTGCACTGCCAGTGGTGGCAGGGATGTGGATGTACACCAGCCCATTTCAAACACCTGTCTTGCACTCAACACTAACTCTTCTCCAAAACACCCCAAGATGATGCCCCTGACCCTCAGGTCTTCTTATCCAGTCCTGAGCACCAATTTCAAAGCACAACGTTGCACTTAGAAAGCAGCTGGGGTGGAATCCAGCCAAGGCTATCTGCACAAGGCCAGCACAGCTCCTCAGCACGCCTGGCTCCAAACCCAGGGCTCAGGATTCAGCTCCCCTCCCATCCCTGACCCCTCCTCACAGGGCACCCTGAGACCCCAAGTGCTGTCTGGGGGTTCATGGGTCAGCCTGCCACATTCCTGCCAGTGCTGCATCCACTGAAGGACAAAAACCCTGCAGGCCTGGGAAATTCTGTTTAAAGCAGGCAGGTGGAAGGCAGCATTGTCTCACAGGGTGCAGTGTATTTGCACTAAAAGGTTTTAAATTTGGTATTTTTAGACACTATGATGCAAGGTACAATTTTCCACAGGCAGGCCATATGCCATCAACTCTGTGTCTTAATGATCTTGAGAATATTTTCACATAAATAATTCTGCTTTTGCACATACATACAACCACCTAGTCTGTTTACTCTTGCCATCACGCTGCTTCCCAGCAGTTGTCACAGGCAATGTCACTGTCACAAGGAGAATACGAATTCAGCTCCTAACAATGAAGCAGGCATGGATGAGTGGGCAGGACACTCAAATGAGTTTCAGAAAGACTTGAGGTGAAATACTGTCCCTAGTGAAATCAATAACAGTTCTCACATTTACTTCAACAGAGTAAATATTTCAGCCCTTTTTTTCAGTGCCTTCTGGTCATCGCAGTATCTAACAGAACAATCATTTCTTTTCCTTAGAAACACAGGGAAAAGGACAGAAGACAAGGAAAGCAAAGCAGGGAGGCAAGATATCAAAACAGATGTACTCTCTTTATCAGAATAATTTAAAACTCCACAAATTTACAATGACTCCTATAACTGCAGATTATAAACAATGCAGAAAATGAGATTAGATTAACACAGTTAGGCCCATCCTTTCTAGGAACTCATTCACAAATTCTTCTTCTGTCCTTGAAACACCTGTACACTACGTTGCTGTTTTGCCAGCTGAGCCAATGAAGAGCTCACAGCAACAGCAACACAATTCTGCGTGTGTCAGCCCGCTCCAGATCAGGCCTGCTGCATACAAAGATATCTATTATAAGGCACAAGCATCATGAGCTGTACTCTGTTAATTAAAATATTTTCTGCTGCAGACTGGAAGCCTGGCCTACGAGGTACTTGCCAAAATTATGTTCAGGAGTACAGCAACTGAAATGTGTTTCTGAATAGGCCAAAAGTTAGTTACTTTTGACTTTTTCTGAATGCACACCCTGTTCTCTTTGTACAACGATGGGAAATACAGTTAAAAGGTTATATGTAACTGTGCACTAGCAGCAAGCTAATGGACATGAGAAACTACCGGTATTCACAAGATATTAAAAATTTTGGACATACAAAGAAATGTAGAAAGAGCCTACAGAGTAACCTGCACCTGAGCTGGAACTGAGCGCACGCCTTGCACAACACAGCAAAGTCACAGAACAAGTGAAATTTACAGTAAACACGCCGGCTGCCAGCAAGCGCTGCAAGTTTCCAAAATTAGCCGGCTTATCAGCCAGAAGCGGACATTTACGAGGCATTTCGGAGCTCCCGGAGCCCTCAGCAGTGCTCAGAGCTGGGGCTGACATTTATTCCATCCCCACCTCACGCCCTGCGCGCTCCGCTCCGCGCTAACAAAGCGCACAGCGCGGGCGCATGCGCGGGCCCCGCGGCCGGACAGACAGACAGACAGCTGGACACGGGCCGGACAGCTGGACACGGGCCCGACACCGTGCCCCGCCTGCCCAAGGCCAGCAGCAGCGGCCCCGGTGGACACCAGCCCGCAGAGCGACACCCACGGCATCCAGCCAGGCGCGATTGCTGCGGGAGAAAGTTTTCTCCAGCTCCTGAGTCTATTTGAACGCCACGTTACTGCTCTCTCTGAATTTCAGCAAAGTTTATCTCTTCTTTTTAAAAAAAAACAGAAAAACAAAACAGGATTTAACGCAAGTTCAGGCTTCATGCAGCACCCTTCTTTTCCCCAGCATCTCATACAGCGCCTCACAAAAGGCCCCAGAGGTTGGACAAACATAGCACCAGGAAAAACACAGCGTGAAAGGGATCTTTATGTGCATGTGTGAGGGCCCAGTGCTAATAGCTCAATGTGCTATTGACACATCACAGTGCAAACAGCTAAGGCTTTTTCAAAATAGCGTGAGTCACAGTGTCATTCTCAACTTTAGGTAATTTGTGGTAAATCATCCCCCTATTATTAAAACATGTTTCTGTAAATGAAGGTAAGACACTGGGAGATGACTATTGCTTCTAAGGTTTACTCCAAACACTGCACATGCCGCAGAGGTGTGAATAGACAGAAGTGGTACTGCAACTTCTGTGACAGCCCTCGCCAAAGCGGAGCGCTAGTTACCCTCCTGTACCAGCAGCTGATGCACTTTTGGATAATCCTCCCGTTTGGATAATCCTCTAGTAAGGAACCGGCCGTAACAGAGCCGTGCTGAGCCGAGAGAACAGAGCACAGGGAAGCTCCGTGCTCTCCTCCCAGGGCCGTCCGAGCCCACCGCGCTCTGCCCGACCCGCCGGGAGCCGCCCGGGGAAAGTTCGGCAAGTGCCGAGCCCAGCGCGAACGCTGCGCGCCCGGGACGCGCCTTTGTTCGCCGGCCACGGGGAGCAGCATCGCCTCCCCGAGCTCCTCCCGGCTGTCTGCCGCTCGCACCCACTGAACACCGAGCACCGGCCCGAGGGCAGGCTCCCCGGGGCGAGCCCCGCGCCCGGCCCCGCCGACCGCAACTTTGCGGGGCTGCGCATCCCCCGGGCCCGCGGAGAGCGGCGGGCGCACCGCCCCGGGCTCCGCGCATCCCCCAGCCCCGAGCCTCCCGCCCCGACGGAGCTCCGGGCAGCAGCACGAGGAATAACACCCGCGGGAATAATCACCTTGTTGTAGTTGTAGTAACCCAAACACTGGGCAAAGTCCAGGTTGGAGGGGTCTCCGGGGAGAGCGCTGCCCGCCGCAGCCGGGTAAAATCTTACATCCATGCTGGAGATTTGGTCCACTTGGAGAGACCGCCGGGATGTTTAATAGATCCACCTTCAAGCGCCTTCCCCGGGGCAGGGGCACGGGCGAACCGCCGAGGGAGCGGAGCTGCGGGGCGCCGAGCCTGCCCGAGAGCGGGGACCGGGGGGCAGCGGGGACTGCGGGGGAAGAGGCGGTGGAAAAGTGCAGGTAAACAAGGAGGAGAAGAGAGCAGGATGAGAGGAGAGGTGGGCAGCGGACCCCAGGTGGCTGGATGCCCGTCCACCTCGGCGGGAGGAGGGGAGGGGAGGGAAGGAGGGAGGGCAGGGGAGAGGGAAGGAGGGAGGGAGGGCTGTTGTTTTTTAAAAGCTCAGTGCCAAGCCACAGGCTTTGCCTCCGCATTCAGGAGCAGCTGCCGTACACAAAGGAGCCACGCGCCCGGCGCGGACGGACTGACGGACGGAGCGGCCGCCCGACAAAGGCGGGGGCACCGTCAGCGCCGGCGGAGCGGGGCACGGCGGGGCCGCGGCCGCCCCGCGCTGCCGGGCAGGGGGCGCCTACCCGGGCTCGGTGCAACAGGGCTGCGCTGGGCGGGCGCTGCGGGGCCAAGTGCCGAGCGAGCGGCGCCGCGCTGGCAGCGCTCCCGGCCCGCGCCCCTCCCCGCCCCGCCCGCCGCCGCTCCCCCGCCCGCGCCCTGCCCATGGCTGTCCTCGCTCCCGGAAGGGTCCAGGTGAGTAACTTTCGCCGCTTCCACCAGTTTTCCGCCCTTTTTTTTTTTGGGGGGGGGGGGGGGGGGGTGGGATAATGCACTTTTATCGATTCACACCGCTGCCTTGCTGCGTCAGGTTGGTAGCAGAAGAAACGAGGTTTTTCTAACGTGCTGTCAGGAGCAAGACTTTAAACCTGCCTCGCTTACAGAAACCTCCTCACACTCGCAAAGTCTCCGGGTGATGAGTCAAAGCTACCCGCTAATAACCAAATTTGTTTTGTCAGTCGTAGGCACAGCCCAGCCGTGTCTGCTCCCTTGCACAGAGCTTTGCTGACCTGAAAGTCTGCTACAGAACTTTTGGAGAAAACACTAAAGCAGCACAAGGCCAGCTAACCTTACAACTTGAGCCCTGCAGACAAGGTGCAAGGAAGAGTCAAGGCTCCAGTGACAGGGAGAGGATTGCCTTTTGGGTCTAGGGCGGATTCCTGGGCAGTTCTCATGCCACTGAAAGTATGTCCCAGATGGAGCTTCCTCCATTGAGCTGCAAAATAGCAATGGTAACCTAAGTATACAAGGCTTAACTGTACAACAGCAGCAAGACCTCTGAAGGACAGACATCCTTGGGCCCATGCTCAGTCCCCCTTCTGATGCCTGCCTCAGGAGCTGAGTGCCCCACACTTCATCTCCAGGCATGATTATTCACTGTCTAAAAACATCAGGAGCAAACTGTAAAACAGTCAACAGCTACATCATGTAGAAAGGAACATCTTCCCACTTCCATTCCTAGAAATCTTATGTTCAATATTTCTGGTGGCACAAGTAGCTCCTGGTTGCACAGGACATGCCAGATCACCCTTATTCAGGATATTGGTTCTGAAGTATCACACTTTGAAGCAAACATCTCTAGCACGGTATTTTGCACTAAGAGCAGAATTAAACATAGCACAGATACATGTTTGTATTTCCATAGAGCATTCAGAGTTTAACTTTCTAGAAAACTGTGTATGAACGGGTAAATGCCTCGATAGCAAAGATAACAGGCATACACTGTCACATACCTAATCCAATTTCATATTCATTATGGCAACTGTTCTTAACCGAAGGCAAAAGACTGCAAAATGTACTCTGTTGCCAGGAGAGGAATGGTTAAGGCACGTACAGCACAGAATATTCACACAGGCACACCCCATATCAGTGGCAAAAAATTACTTATGCTCCTGAGAGAAACAAACTGTTCAGAAAAAGACAATGAAACTGTTTCAGACTGCAACATCACATCAGAGCATTCCTCCAACACAGTGATGGAAAAGTGGTTGTGTACAGGCACAGCAAACTGAGGCTAAAAGTAAAAGTAGAATTCTACCCAAGTGCATGTTATATTAAACAGATTCTTAGGTGTAGGAACAGATCGTTGCCCTCAAGTTCTGGACTGCTCTGCTCTGTGAACACAGCTATTTCCCACTGCCTAGCTCTGGGTCCCTGCACTTCTCATGACACCTGAAAGCACATTTCCACTGAACTCAGAGGAAGATTACACGAGTGAGGAATGAACAGCAGGTGATTCCCGATCTGGCTTTGGTCCTGCTGCCACACTGCAAGGAGACACTGCAGGGCTGCAGAGCTGTGATCCATGGCCCTGGCACTGCCTGGCAGCACAGCCCAGCCCAGCCCAGCTCTCCTGTCCCCTGCTGGAGCAGCAGCCTCTGCTGCAGGCTGGCTGCAGGTGGGAGGCACAGCACTGGTTGGGAGACTTGGGGTCAGCGCATGTGCAAATAGTGGTGATGGAAATAGCGATGATTTTAAGTATTCTGCTGTTTGCAACACAGTTCCTTCTGAAAGTAATACACACAACAGTAATACCTCAAAATACTCTGTTTTGACATCACTGACTCGGAAAGTTAACGTAAATTGGAACAGACTCAGTCAGCATTAAAAAAAAAAAAGTAATTAAAAAAAACCCTCAAGCGAGGCAAAACATCCCCAAAGTAATATTTGGTGAAAAGTTTTGAAATACTCTCTGTTTATACTATAATGAAAATTAAGCAAAACTTCAATATTTTCAACAATAAAAGAATTACAATTCCTGGGTACAAGCTACTTTTGTCACTCCTACCTAACCCCCAAAGTCTTTTGCAGAACTAGTATGACTGCAGTGAAATGAAATAGTAATCTAAAGAAAAGCAGAAGAGAAACTGGCATATATATGCTAATTTATTTTTCTTTTTGAATAAAATATTATGATTTATGTGATACTATACCAGAGAGAATTGTACTAAAAAAGAAACTAAAGAATTAGGCAAGCGTGTGTTTTTCTTTCTCAACACCTCTTCAATGTAGTGCATTAAATAAGTAAACTTGAGTAATCTCTGCTATACTTTTAGTGCATATACATAACGTCATTATGTGTTTTTTTTATTACAGTGCATTTATCTCAGGAGTACCTTAAAGATGAAAAGTGAGCCGAAGTATTTATAACCTTCTGTACATGATGCTTGAAAGGAGTCCAACAAATTCTTCTCTCAAGCCATTCTCTTAAAGGTCCTTCAGTAAAATTATGGCTTTGAAAGTCTACTTTTGTCTCTTTTTTTTCTTTCAGAGTAGATGGAGTATGAAGTATTTGCAATTTTGAGTAAGTTTTCTTTTTTTCCCTGCTGGTTTAATAAAAGCAAGTATCTATCTACAGTAAGTGGAGTACTCCAGTAATTTCCCTGGTCCTGGGTAGCCTGAATTTCAAAGAAACTTTTCAAAAGGCCTTGTTTCATAAAGGTTTGAATGTATGCCTACTGATGCCAACAATTATGATTCAGGAAGCACCACACAAATGGTGACTCTGTTCCATCTTCAGCTATACTTTCTTCTGACTCATCATCACAATTCAATTTTAAAAGCCATTAAGAACAGAAATTGTATTGAGTGAATCAGTCATATACAGACTTGAAAGTGTGCCTGCACAAATTCTCACTGCTGCCCAGAAACCTTTCAGCTTGCACAGGTAAATATGAATGTTCCAAGCCTGGCTGATTCCCACACAAGCCTTGCAACCCTTTTTTTTTTTTGTTTGTTTTTTTTCCCATGCCAGGCCAAACTTTGCATCCTTAGAGCCTTTGCAAACCCTGTGTCAGTTCAGTAACATGGAAATATTATCTGAGGCTGCACAAGCACTCACCTCAGCAAACCCCCTGTCTCAGACCACACAGTTCCCTCCCACTGGCAGAGCCTTGGAGGGACAGGAAAGTGAGGGAGAAGGGATGGAAGGGCAGGAAAGAAGTGAGGGAGATGGGATGGAATGAGCCAAGGCTGGACTGAAGCTCTCTGCTCCAGTTTACAATGCAGAACCAACATTGCAAAGAGCTGAATTTCACTTGCACAGTGCAGGGTCCACCTCTGCCTTCTCCACAGACTTTGGGGAGAGTAGATGGATGTACCCTGGGCAGTGCAGGGAAAAAACACCCAAATTCTCTGGAGGTTCAACAACAACTTTTACCCACAAACTTTAGAACTCTTAAGTAGAATAAATTTTAAATTTGGCAAATTTTAAAACATCCAGATGAAGTAAGGCACTTTGCAAGCTGTTAACTCGGCAAACTTTAACCTATCCAGACTCAACAAAGTACTTACCAGAAATTTTTGGTTCATTCAGCTTTAAAAAGAGAAAAAGGTGGAAGAAAGAAAGCGAAAGGTAAATGTTCATCCTATGACCCGCTATTCCTCCAGTCTCCTACACTGTCTTTTGGGTTCTGTAAGAACTGGGAGGAACAAGAGGAAAGGAAGGAACAGGACATCTCTGCTGCCACCTGTTAACACTGTCTCGGCCCCTTCCCCCCAGAGCACATGTGGAGGATGGAAGGGCACAAAACAAAAAAGGCTGGAATACAGAAGGAGAAAAGAAAGAGCACCAAGCAGGTCTGGTTTAGAAAAGATTCTAAAGCCTCCTGAAATCAATAGAAAGTCCCTTTAATTGACTGCAATGAGTTTTGAATGAGACTTACATTCTACTTATCAAGTACAGCTGCTGAGAATCAATAATATTTTGACTAAGCTTTCAAAGCAACAGCTACACTACTAACTTCTGGCTAAGAAAAAGTACAATTAATAGCATATTAATTCATTAGAATTTATCCCACTGAAGTGTCCTCATCAGGTGGTAGAGTCAGATGGTATTTAGAAGTGATCACACATGCATGAATATCCTGTATAAGTGAGGCAATAAAGAAAATACTTTTGTTCCTAACACTAAGTCAGATCAAATATTCATTGATATCTACATCTCTTAGCAAGTATCTCAAGCAGAGATCAATAAACACTTATTAGTCACTGACTATGTTTCCTGCAGTAAAGGAGGGAATTTCAGCCAACACATCAGAGAAGCCAAACAATTGGGGAGCTGGAGTTTAGTGCTTGCTGCCAGATGATCACTTACCTTCTCATTGTCCCAGTTGCCACATCTAGAGAACTGCAGATCAAAGGATTAATTAAAAACTATAGTCCTTCCTTTAAAATACAAATCATTATTTCAAAATACAAGTATAGATTGTTGCAAGGAGGGAAAAAAAATCACAACTGCAAGTTTTTGGTTTGTGAAAATTCTTTCAGGCCCAAATCAGGAAATACATTACTTTGTGAAACTGGGAATAAAATATAATTATTTAACTTTTCAAAGATTTACATGTGCCTCTTTGATGCTCCTGTGGGTTGCTGAGGTCTCTTACCTTACCTGAAGGATTTTACCACCTCAAATCACATACAATATTTCAAATAATATTCTACCAGAAAACCAGATATTTGAGTTGTTTAGAGAGCAGACACAACCATCAATACTGTTGAACTATGTTACAGCAAAAAGGTTTCTGCTTTAAAGAAAGTATTCCATAGCCTTCCAAAATAACCTGTGTGTAATGGGCAATATAGAATTACTTTTTGGCAGAGGGAATATCCTGTTGCTATTGAGTGCAGTGTTACAGTATCCTCACACACTAGTACACAGTTATTGTGGGATAAAGACCACGTTGAAAAACAAACTGATTGCAGCACCGAAAACAGAAAAGGAACTGTCCAGTAATATGAAAACTCACTTCTTTAGGAGAACAATGACTGGAACAGTGTCACTTCTAGATTAGCATTAAAGAATAAAAGTTTCAACTGAAACTAAGAAATTAATGCATTCCTTTCTTCCAGGAATGTTATATTAAAGCAAGACAGGAAAACTGAGTTAGAGATGGTGCTGTATATGGTTATATATGTACATACACACATAGATATATATCATTACATTTACATATATATAATTTGTATCATCTGTTGATACAAACTGTGTGGTATGTTTCTGGTTTTCTCCTCCAGCTCTCTCCACATTCATACATTTGTTGAATTTAAACTGCTGGAACTATTATGAGGGGGAAAAAAAGCCACTGGCATCTACATATTTCAGGACAATGTCTACAGAAAGAAAAATATTCTCACCACAAGCAATCCAAATTCTTCTCTAAATTTCTCTGTTAGTCTAGAGTAATGTGATAGGCAGAAACTTTCATTTTACAGTAGAACCAAATCTAATTACTGAAAGAAATATTTTAATAAAAAGTCTTAGTGAGATGTACTGAAGAGTTTTTCCAGGTGAGAAAGGTTACATTCAATCCTTGTATCTGCAACAAATTCACTCGTGCATGTTTTTCATATTTAATTTCATCCAGTGTTCTTTTAGCAATGGTTTGAAATATCAATACAACATCTGATATATTTCAGGTGCACACATTGCAGTACAAAGCACCCAGAGAAGGATGTGGGGATGTTCCTGGAGCGATCAATGAAAGCTCTTTCTGAGATTGTGTGAGTTTAATTCAACACTGCCCATCCCAAGAGCGTACTCACCTGCCTGGGGGAGGGTGAGCAGCAGCGGCTGCCCCAGGGCTGGGGAGTGGCTCTGTCCACCCTCAGTGACCACAATGCACAGCCTTTGTTGGTGCCTGTGGAAGGGATGGGCCTTTGGTCATCGCCTGGAAGCCAGTGAAGGACTTGATGACACTGCCAAGGTACAAGGTAAAAGCAGTGTGTAGTTTCACAGTCATGCCTTAAAAACAAAATGAATAATTTAAAAATGCTGCTGTCATCGTGTCCCTTTCAAATGTAACAGTGACTTACCATGGTATTAATGTCACACCATCTACCAGCACAGGCTATAAGATTAAATAATTAGTGACCAATGCTAGGGAATGTGAAGATATTAAAAAAAAAAAAATTAATAATGCTGTAGACATACTGCTTTATTTGGATAGATCAGATCCATACAATAACTGGGAGTAGTCTTCCAAAGGACCCATTAGTTATCCTTTAGGTCTTCTAATTAATGATGTAGTCTTCTGAGAGCATATTAATAACTCTGATATTAATAGCAGCATAATTCTAGCTGAGGATTAAAGAAATGAAGCACTATAAGTACTTGTACAATAGAGTTTGGGACTTAGTAATAGACACATGGCACATAAATAAATTCATCAGATTGAAAATTAAGGAACAGATTTCTGAAGGTGTGATTAGGGACTGCAATAACATCTCTAAATTAACTGCTATACTTTCATTCAGGACTTGTGTTCACTTATAGAGCTGAGAGTTTTTTTAACTTTTTTAAATTTGTTTGGGTTTTGAGGAGTTTGTGGTGGTGGTGGTGGCTTTTTAGGTTTTTTTAATGCCTCAGTGGCCAGGTTTTCAGTGTCAAAAGGAGAGATTCCAGTTCTCAAGACTATTTCCTGAAGCTCATGAACAGTATGTGCCAAGCTGGTCTTAAAAAATCAGTCCACATTACCATGAATGGCTAATATTTAATAAAGCATCTGATCACAAAACCAAATCTGCAAAACCCAAAAAAAACCAGTGGTACAATAACACTCTGACTTGCTACTAAATGCAATGTTCTTTGATATAAGTCTATTTCAACTTCATTTATTCCAGGGTTCTACAGCAGTCAAAATAATCAATGCAGAATTTTCCATGTGATTTACACATTGCTTTTAAAAATGAATTGTCTGAAACAAAAAATGCTTTTTCTGCTGCCTGGCTTGTTTTCTAAAACATATTCTCTTTCTTCTAAAGTGAGAGAACGACCTCTGCTTCAGGAACAATTTTCTGAGACAGTGTGTTTATCAAATGGCTTCTCTGCTTTCATGAAAACAATTTATTTTCACTGAACTCCTCAAGATAAGCACTGAAGTCAGGAAGAATGTACAATGACATTTATAATTACATTCAAGAAACAAATATTTTGCTAAAGAAAGGATTTGGATTTTTATCGATTTTAGAGACAAAAAATATTTTATTTCTTCCAACATACCATTTAATGATATTGTCTCCCTGAAATTACAAAGTATGTTTTTATATGCATGGAAAGAAAAGCCCGGGACAGTAATCTTCTCATAGAAATGCCACAGGATGCATCTTAAACAATGAAAGCTGTAGCATAGTCCTTACAACCAAATTGCCTTCCCTGCCCCACTCTTTGCTAATAATCTGCAGAAAAGGACAATTTAAGCAGGAGGATGCATGCCCCTTGCAGAGCCTCCTCCAAACAGCCCCTCTATGCCCAGTCTTAGAAAAGAGACAAAGCATTTTTCTCCTGGGATGCACATCCTTCTCTCCAGCTTTCCTCCCACACTTTCCCCTGCTCAGAGACATTTCTGGAGCTCCAAAGC